GATTATGCGATCGCAGACCTTGTTCTGGAGCTCCATTTTTGGGGTTTTTAAAACCCGAGCCTACTTCGTTAAATACACGCTTTGGGCCATTTTTAGCTAAAATATGACATTTTAGAGTGAGAGAGAGTGCCCTAGAGTGAGAAGGTGTTACTCAATAATTGTTCTTCAATTCTTGCTCGAATCGTGGAAGATTAACAAGGATAACCCACAAGGTCGTCATCCTAGAGATAAGATTCTACACCTTAACCCCTAAATTTGAATTTATCTGAAAATGGGTAATTAGCAAGATAATTTTTGGGTATGAGAGTTGTTTAGTTTACATGCATGTGATATCAAGGGGTGTAGGAAGATTGATGAACTAAGCATGATAAAGAATGGGTTGTGGGATGATGGAATCCTCCATAAAAGGACCTTGGAACCTTAATGCACACCTAGTGTTTGATAAAAATACTCAAATGAGCTAGAACCATGTTCATCTTCCTAATTTTTGTTCAATTTGTTATATTTCTACAATAGATTGAAGTTGCTAAGAATTCTAAAATATTTTAGAGTTTAAAGAAGCTCAATTGAGGTATGTCGGCTAAACCCTTCTCTTAGACTTGAATCCCATGATATTCATGTAATTTATGCAAGACCCGAGTGGTTCATGATAAAATCGGCTATTCCAAGTAAGTTTGTGTTCAAAGATATATGTTCAATAAGTATCCTAAATGCTTTATTCATGTTATGTTATCAATTGAGGATGTGTTCAAGTATGCGATGTGCATTAATAATGTTCGACTTCAAGTCAAATTCAAACGAAGGTTATTATGCCAAATTTTGTGAAGAATCTCTATGTGCCTTAGACTCTTAATTGCTCACAAGTGTACTACACACCTTGATTTGAATAATTGTTGTTGGTGATGATGATGTTGATGTTTGAAAGTAAAAAGGTGAGCATGAAATACTAAATACGGCCAACGCGCCAAGAATGATATTATAATTATGGCCATTAGTGCCAATGAAATGAAAAGATGTGAAAGAAGTATGAAATGCGATAATTGATATAAAAGGTTGATGTCTCGAATAAGACAACCTAGTCGATCGGGTCATGATCGGACACCATGTCGCAAATATGGTGGTGATTTTGCTGGAAATTATAATTGAAATGGTGATTGTGGTCGATGTCCCTAATGGATAGTGTAGCCGATCGGGTCGTGATCGGACTCTGTGTTAAAGACGGTGGTATTGATATTGAGAGTAATTATGGTTGATGTCTCTAATAAGATAGCCTAGCCGATCGGGTCGTGATCGGACTCCGTGCTAAGAGTATAACGGTATTGGTATTGTGAATAATGGCAATGCGAACAATGGTATATCGATACTAAAAATCTCCCAATGTGAGATATGGAAATTAATTTGAACTCTGTCTTGATCCTAAATTAAGGTTTGATATTGTTTAAGGCTTACATTGATATTATGATATTCTTGTTTGTATTATTTATCATTCTATTGAGAGGGTGTTTTGTCATTCATACTAGTACTATTCTAGATGTATTAACGTCTCTTTTGCCGGGGGCGCTGCATCTTCAATGGATGCAGGTGGTTCCACAACAAGAGACATTGATCAGTGATAGCGGTACATCCTCTCCCCAGCTGACTTGGTGAGCCACACTTCATTTTGGGGTCATGTATCTTTTGTTCCTCGTGTATTGTGTTTGAGGTAAAGCCGGGGCCTTGTTTCCGGCATTATCATAGTACTCTTTTGTATCTATTAGAGGCTCCGTAGACATGGTGTGGGTTGTGTATTGATGCTGGGAAAGTCAAACTATGTTATGTTGTGGTTGTATTACTTGTCCATTTGAGACTTTAAAAATGATGAAACTATTGGCAATGACTTGATATTGTAGACATGAACACCCTTTTGTCTAATTAATGAAAAATATGTATTATCTCCATTCATGGATGAGTTGAGTAGAAGGAAATCTAACAGATGGAAATAGTCCGAAGATGACAACTTGCTAAGCAAGCCAACTCGAAGATGACAAATAAAGTCCATATTCATTATTTAACAAAGATAGATAATAATAAAATATGGAAATAGTCTCAAAACCAGTGATAATATTGATAAAACCACAAGAAAGTCCTAAACACGGCCAATACAATATGCCCCCAAGACTAGGTGGCACAAGTATACGAGCAAACTACGGAAATGAGATCAAGTCTGTTTACATGTCAAGCTGTGTGAAATACAATAGACAGAAATACATAAGGGAACAGGGACTCGGGAACTACGAAGTAGATCTATGTAGTGCAGCTCACCCAAAGTCTCCGTGATAACTCCTAGCCCAATCCGGATGCTCTGCTAGGACCAACTTGAGGATCTGCACAAAAAGATCTGCAGAAGCGTAGTATGAGTACACCACAGTCAATGTTTAATAAGTATCAAGGCTAACCTCGAAAAAGTAGTGGCGAGGCTAGATGCTTCCAGATACTTATCACACAAGTAAGATAATAGAATTAAAAATTGGAGCAATAGGTAACATCATGAATAATAAGAGTCATAGATATCAACAGATAAGCGTACTTTTCTAGCACAGAAATAACCCTATCATTGCTCAGATATGACAATGAAAGATAACATGCTCAAATAACGGAGTCAGGACACCCACTTAGCGCATAAGGATATCAAGTAACAATGTATAATGAAAACAATACTTCAAAATGAGTCAATAATAAGAATGTGTGCTCAACCGATACAAGGTCCATGTACCCCGATACACAATACATGTATCACATATCCTGATTCAAAATCCATGTATCGACCCGGTACAAAATCCATGTACCGACCATGCTCACAGAGTTCAAAGTAACATGGGTTATCACCTGACTTCGGAGGAACAAATCCAAATCCAAGCTCAAGAGGGATATAATAGCATCCCTCATAAATCAATATCTGAACATCATGTCCAATGTTCCATAACTGTATCTCACCTGCACGCTTACCCTTCGTTCCAAAATCCTCATTCCAAATCAATTAATAAATATCATACGGATATGTGCTCATGAAATCTCTACGTGACTACGGATAATTATGTATTTCAATGTATCAAGAAAAAGTTATCATGTCTACTTAATTAATCATAAGTATAAGCATGATTTTTAACATGAATAAGATAGCAACGTAGTCACATAAGTCAAATAAATCACGAGTCAATTGAGAACATAGTCAAACAAAGCATGAAATATTTCAATTTCTACCCCTGATCATGATATAAACTTGGTAAATGCATATATGCTCGCCATCGCGTATATACACTACCCCCCAATACCTTAATCTCATAACAAACAAGTCAAATCCTAGGGGGTTTCCCTCTTAACAAGGCTAGCCAAGAGACTTACCTACACTCGGTAGTCTCCCAAAATAGCCTTTCCTCTCAAATCATTCTCTAAATAGGCCGAATCTAGCTAAATACAGCCTGATAACGTCAAACAAAGCCATAGAAATCAAACCCAAACAATAAAGATTGAATTTTTAATCAATTGCAAAAAGTCAACCAAAATGTCAACCCAGCCCCACCTCTCGGAAACCTAATAAAATTCAAAAATCCCAAACTCTCATTCCAATACGAGTCTAAATACACAAGTTTCATCACAAATCAACTACAAATCTGGGTTCAAATCTCAATAATTCTTTTTTCCAAAAATTCCTTACAAAACCCAATTTCTCCTTTAGAATTCATCAACCAAAGACCAAAATCAAAGACGAAATCATGAATTAAAATCAAATCTAAGTCAAGAACACTTACCCCAATCCAAGTGATCAACATCTCCTCAAACATCTCTCAAATCCGAGCTCCCATCATTTTATGATAAAATAAGCCAAACCCTCGAAAAATACACTCTGCCCAGCGATTTCGCTTTTGCAGACAAAACTCTTGCTTCTGCGACACCGCATCTCTCAAACATCCCTCACAGATGCGAGATTCCACTTAAGTTCTGCCCTTCCGCTTCTGCGGACAAGCCCCCACTTCTGCGGAGCCGCTTCTGTTGTCCAAGTTGTGCACCACTTATGTGGAGTCCTCTTACCCCAGCCTTCCTCCACACCTGCGACCCACTGTCTCCATCTGTAGACTCGCACGTGCGGACCCAACCTCGCAGGTCCAAAAACACCAGAATAAAAATGCTAATATAACACCAACCAATCCGAAATACACACCAGAGGCCCCCGGGACCCCGTCCAATCATACTAACCAGTACCAAAACATAACACAGACCTACTCATGATCTCAAATCTACCAGAAATAGCCTCTCTGCCTCTCCAGGTACGGGTAAGGTTTGCGTACACACTACCCTCCCCAGACCCCACCTATAGGATTATTGTTGTTGTTGTTGTTGTTGTTGTAATTCAAGCTTAATGAACTAATCCACTTCCAAACTTCCAAACTCATGCTGAACCACATACAACCAACTCAGAGTAATCTCAAATTCGCACACAAGTTTCGAATGACGTAACGAACCTATTCCAACTCCCAGAATAATAAACCAAGCTCGATAACACAAAAGCCAACTCCCGGTCATACCTATGAACCTTCCAAACCTTCAAATTTCTAACTTTTGCCAAATAGAGACAAATCAACCTAGGAACCTCCAAATCCAAATCTTGACAAATGCCTTAGTCCAAAATAATCATACGAACATACTGGAACCTTAAAAGACCATTCCGAGGTCGTTTACATAAAGGTCAAACATCGATCAATTCTTAGAATTTAACCTTTCATTAATGACTCTAAGTGTTCCAAACCACTCCTGAACCTTCCCGAAGCCAAACCATTCAACCTTGCAAGCCACAAAACAATAAATACACATACGGGAAACATAAAATAGGGGAACAAGGCTAAAATACAAAAACTGACCGATCAGGTAGTTATATTCTCCGCCTCTTAAAGAAATGTTCGTCCTCAAACGAGTTTAGAAACATACCTGGAATGCCAAAAAGATGTGGATATATACTTCGTATATCATGCTCGGTCTCCCAAGTCGGCTTCGAATGATTGACCTCTCCACTGAACCTTCACTGGTGCAATATCCTTCAATCTGAGCTTCCGAACCTGCTTTTCCAAGATGGCCACTGGTTCCTCCTCATAAGTCAAGTTCTCATCCAACTGCACCGAACTGAAATTTAACACATGTGACTGATCCTTATGATACTTCCAAAGCATGGAAACACTAAACACATGACGAACTCCCCACAAGTTGGATGGCAAAGTAATCCTGTAAGCCACATCGCCCACTCTCTCCATAACCTCAAATGAACCAATGTACCGAGGGCTCATCTTTCCCTTCTTCCTGAACCTCCTCATGCCATTCAAAAGCAAAACTCGGAGAAGCACCTTCTCACCCTCCAAAAAGGCTACATCGTGAACCTTCCTATTAGCATAACTCATCTTCCTAGATTACGTTGTACGAAGCCTCTCCTGAATCAAATTGACCTTCTCCAAAGCATCACGAACTAAATCAATACATGTCACGACTCAAAATCACCCTAGTGTAGTATGAGTACAATCGATCCCATGTAGCTACCAATAACAAATAGTAGCTATATCCGGGAAACACTTCAATCCCAGCTCCCGACATACACAGCAGCATCAGCTCCAATATCTGCATGCAAGGTACAGAAGTGTAGTATGAGTACAATCGACCACATGTACTCAATAAATATCAAACCTAACCTTAAGTTGAAAGAAGTGACGAGCTTGGAAGATGGTCAGAGTCCAACACCAATAGCTAATAATAATTCATAACAGTAGAATGAAGACACTAAAAGTATATAACTTAAGAAATATTATGCTCAGCTCATTCACAGTAACGGAAAAGTAGACATGTTTTTCAAGTATAATAGTTCAAGTCCAAATCTTAGCACTCAAAAATCAATCAAACACGAGTTTATTAAAAGAACTGTGTTTTTCCAACATCAAATAAGACTTTTCATTTACCAACTAGCATGAAAAAAGTACATCTTTATACCTGCATGTCAATATACATGTCAAGTCATCAAATGTCATATTACCGTCTAGCATGAGGAAAATATCACAATGTGCGTCAAATATAGCTCAAACTCGTGCCATGTACACGGTCACCAATAACATGTGAGACAACATTTCAAAAGTGCACAGAGATAAAGATATAACATGTGAATGTAACTAACATGACGGTGTAGTATGACTACAGCTAAGGCAAATAACTCGACATGGTGAAATAGCTCAAACAATTAAGTAGGTGGCCTAGGCATGATTTCTAGCACGAATAATAACCCACGTAGTCATACAATTAGAGAAAACATCATTTCAAAGAAACATAACAGTAAAACAAGGCATATATTATCCTAAAACTACCAGGATAATGAATACCCTAGTGCACACACACATGCCCGTCACCTAGCACATGTGTCACCCCCAATACATCCCTAATGTCATAGTCCTAAGGGATAATTACCCTAAAATCTAAGTTTAGATATGTTGCTTACCTTGAACATGCCAAGTCAAATACCGAGCAAGCCAAACGATACTCTAGAAATGCCACACCACATGAATCAACCTCCGAATGGCTTGAAACTAGCCAAAAGCAACTCAAAAATATCAAATAATTTCATAGGAAATAAACCCAAGCGATAAAGGTCGAATGTTTAATCAAATACTCAAAGTCAACAAAAACGTCAACCCGGGCCCGCACCTCGAAACCCGACAAAACTCACAAGTATATACAACCCATTTGAATACGAGTCCAACCATGCTAATTTCACTCAAATCCCACTCCGAATCGATGTTTAAAACTCAATTATTCACTTTAGGAAAGTTTAGACAAAACCCCCAATTTCTCTTTTAGAATCATCCATCAAATGCCAAAATCGAAGATAGAATCATATAATATAATAAAACCGAGTCAAAAATCTTACCCCAATCCATGTGGTGAAATTCCCCTCCAAAATCTCCCAAAACCAATCTCTAAATCTCCAAATGTGATAAAATAAACAAACCCTCGAAATAAATAAGATCTGCTAGTGAATCCGATTTTGCGGTCACTAAGTTTCTTATGCGACAACCGCTATATAAATCTCACATCTGCGAGTACCCTTCTCAGTCCGACCTTCCGCACCTGCAAATAACACCTCATATCAGCAAGCTCATAGATACGGAATGACCATTGCATCTCCACACATGCCCAGCTCCCGCTAACATCGCATATACGGGCCCCTCTAGTGCATCTGCGCTTCCGCTTCTGCACCCATTGTGCCACTTCTACGGCTCCACACCTGCACCCATACCTCCGCAAGTTCCATAACACCAGGACTCAAAAATCTCAGCAATGCCAACATGATCCGAAATGGTCCAAAATTAATCTGAAACACACCCGGGCCCCTTGGGACCCCGCCCGAACATACCAACAAGTCCCAAAACACAACACCAACCTACTCGAGGCCTCAAATCACACATAATAATATCAAAATCATGAATCGTCGATCAAGATCAATCTCTTAAGTTCGAACCAAGTATCTGATCCAAGCCTAACCAATCCAGAATGAACCCAAATTTTGCATACAAGTTCTAAATGACATAACAAACTTTTTCCAACCCCCATAACAACAATCCAAACCCGATAACATCGAAGTCAACTCCCATATAAACTTATGAATATTCCAAACCTTCAAATTGTCAACTTTCGCCAAATAGTGCCAAAACCTTCTAGAAACATCTAAATACAAATTCAGGCATACGCTCAACTCCAAAATAATCATACGGACCTAACAGAACCATCACAACTTCGATCCGAGGTCAAATACATAAAAGTAAAACTTGATCAACTCTTCCAACTTAAAACTTCCTATTTAAAAATCATTCTCCCAAATAAATTTCGAACAACTCGGATTCCAAAACATACATGCAAGTAGTAATACATCATATGAAGCTAATCAAGACCTCAAACCACCTAACGGAATGCCAATTCTCAAAACAACTGGTCGAGTCATTATATTCTCCCCCACTTAAACATACGTTTATCCTCAAACATGCCAAGAGTCATTCCAAAGCCATCAGATATCTATATAAACTCATCACACATATACCCATAGGTGATCCCATGTCATCCCAAATCATTTAAGTCTAACAACACAACCCAACCAAAGATTCTCTCTTCAACCTAAATCCATAAACCTCATAATCTCACATCTATACACTGTTTAAGTCCAAACAAACTGTACCAAGCCACAACATATTCCACAAAATATATTCATATGATATACCACATAACTCAGACACTCGTAGCAATAATTGTTGCACCCTATTTTGCACTATTCAAGACAAGATTCAACTTATGATTTCTCTGTTGTTGATGAAAGAGAGTCGTCACCTAATATTTAAAGGTAATATTTAAAGGTATACTAGGGCACCTATTTAATTACTAAGTTATGTTTTTATTATTAGCCTGCTAACCAGTGAGATTATGGGTAAGGGTTCTTGTTCTACTAAGGGGAAGGTGTTAGGCACCCCTTAAAATCTACCTAAGGTAGCTCCATAGGATTTAGACTAAGTTTGGAATCAGTTATTTATAAAAGTCTTTGACTAGTGATAAGGAATGTTGCTTACTATATATCTAAGTACAGTACTGATAGAGAGAATGTGGGGTCTTAGAGGAATATGAATTTATGAAGAGGTTTATAACTTATATTGAAAGGGTTTTGAAATTGGTACATAAGTGGTCTAAATTTTTATAAGTTTATAAAAGGGATTAAGTTATGAAAATACTTTATTTTGGTGGATTGTTATAAATGTAATGCTAAAGGGAAGTTTATGAAAAAGCATATCTAGAATTTTACCTTAGATTCGTAGGGTTTTTAAAGAAGGGGTTATTTACCGAAAAAATTCCTTAAGGGCGACAGGTTCTTGAAATTCTAATTTTTCTTTTAAAAATGAAGCTGACATCTGATTCTTCCTTTTGAAATAGAGTTGTTGTTTCGTTAAGTTCTGGATTTCAAAATCATTAAAGGAGAGAATGGTGAGTGAAAAACATAGTAATTAGCAAGCAGATTGTAACTAGCGAACTAAAGATATATTACTAGCTAATTTCCCTTTTAAATCCTATGTTGTTAAGGCTTGCCTAAGTTTACATGATACCAAAGCATAAAAGAAAAATATATGTTCTAATATATGAGTGTTATTGTAACGACCCGGCCGGTCGTTTTGAGAGTTGTAGCCTCGTTCCCCCATTTACTGTACACTTTGTACGTTATAGCTATTATGTGACTTGCCAAGGTAGTTTGTTCGGGTCCAGCGAGGTTTGGGAATGAATTGAGACACTTAGTCTCAAAGTTGGGAACTTAAGTTGAAATAGTTGGCCAGATATTGATTTATGTGTAAACGACTCCGGAATGGAGTTTTGATGGTTCTGTTAGCTCTGTTAGGTGATTTTGGATTTAGGAGCATGTGTGCATTGTAATTAGGCTTGAAATGGAGAAAGTTAGATTTTTGAAAAAGTTGAACTGGAGTGAACTTTTTGATATAGAGGTTTGATTCTGATTCCAGAAGTTGGAGTAGGTATGTAATGTCATTTGTGACTTGTGTGCAAAATTTGGGGTCAATCGGACTTGATTTGATAGGTTTTGGCATCATTTGTAAAAGTTGGATTTCCTTAGTTTCATTATTCTTGAATTTGGGTGTGATTCGTGTTTTTTGATATTGTTTGATGTGATTTGAGGGCTTGACTACGTTCGTATGAGGTTTTAGTACTTGTTGGTATATTTGGTTGAGGTACCGGGGGCCTCGAGTTGAATCCGGATGGTTAACAGATCAAAAGCTAAAGTTTAAAGGTTACTGAAGCTGGAGGTTGCTGGTGTAACCGCACCTGCGGAGCTTTGATCATTGGTGCGAGCTCGCAGGTGTGGGCTGGGTTGTGCAAGTGCGAGTTTGGAGGGGAGTATGCAGGTGGTCGCAGGTGCGAGGAGTTTTTCGCACCTGCGTGGTCGCAGGTACTTCGAGAGGGGAGCAGAAGCGGAAGGCGTGCAGGTGCGATGGGGAATTCCGCACCTGCGATTGTGCAGATGCGGGTGGGAGGACTGCAGGAGCGAAGTCCCAACTCTAGTGGTTCACCACAAAAGCGGAAGTGCTAGATAGAACACTTAAAAATAAGGGTTCGCGATTTTGCTTCATTTTAAACATTTCAAGCTCGGGTTTAGGCGATTCTTAAGAGGATTTCCGAGGGGTTTCTTGAGGTAAGTCCCTTGTGATCATTGTTTATCAATATTCTTGTTTCCCCATTGCATTTCCCACCTAGTTTGTGTATATTTAAGATGGAATTCGGGAGTTGAGTGTAGAGATTTGGAGAGTTGAATTTGCGGATTTGGGTGACGATCTGGTGTTGGATTTTGGTAAATTTGGTATGGTTGGAATCGCAG